AAAAGGAAGCCAAATATATGTAGAAATGCCTTAAACAATAAAATAAGCCAAAGCCAGAACCTCTGCTTGAAGTATCAAATTGGCAAGACAGTTACTAATATGCTAGAAAAAAAAGATACTGGACAAACCCGGATAAAAATGCCAAGAAACACGTCTAAAACAAGCCAGATCCGAAACCTCTGCTTGGAGAGTAGGCAGTGACGGCCTTGGCATTAAAAAGATTCCAGCACAAAAAGAAATTCCGATAAATATACCTAGAATTAGTAGAAACACGTCTAAAACCAGCCGAAGCCAAAACCTCTGCTTGGAGATCAGGCACTGACAGCTCCAGTGTAATTGATCTGACACCCAGCCTGCCCTCAACGTTCAACACTCCAGTTGCTCCTCCACTGCTGGTGGCCAAACGCACAACTGCCGCTCAATATTACACACGCATCCCTGGCTATCTGGGGCAGACCATTCATAAACTGGACAGGGGGGTGTCCAAGAAAACCGTGCATGTATATTTAGCTCTCCTCCTTGTATAATGAAGTGCTAAATTGACTTAAGATACGGTTCACCTTAAAATATGAAAGAAACAAGAAAGTGGTAAAATATTTCTTCAACTACATTATGTTTAGTAGAAATACTAATTACATAATTACTGGAAAGCAATTCAAAATATAATAATTACTAATTGTTATAATACAGTATGAGAAGACGGTTGCAAACTAAAAGGTAAACCTTTTGAATTAATGCAATTAATCTAAGATGATCATGTGCAAAATTACTTCCTTAAGATTTTAATAAGACTTGAATAAGTACCACAAGCCAACATCATATTTCTTCATCTTACCACAATTCAACATTGATAGTAAGAAGAAAAATTTTCCAACAATCTCCCCCATTCAGTTTAGCAATGGTACAGCCCCAATAAAAGCCAATCAAAATAACTACCCTACCAGACGATTAGGCCGTACTACTTTCCTTTCCAGGGGAGGTACAAAGAAGCCATGTGTGAAATCTATTACTAAGTACATCAGCTAAAAATAGGGACATCTTTTGATGAAACTGATACCCATGAGTTTTGACGGGGGCAGTTTTGTGGTCACAATTTTTAAGTTTATGATGTTTTTGAGAAGTGTCGAGGTCATTTTGTGGGTGGTCCGACTTGTCTTCGGAATTTCATCTCCATTCCTTCTGGCCAAATTAATTTTCAGCAGAGAAAACGGGTCAAAAGGTTGATTAATATGAACATCATCCTGGAATAGATTCTGAATTCGTTCTGGCTAATAGTAATAGCCCCATACCAATGGGTAATGCTTATACAGTACAACTTCAAGATAAAGCTTTGAACAGCTAGAAAGGCTAGCCTCCATAGCAGGCTTATAGAACTGAGGGTTTGGAGGTCTTCAGCTGTTTTCTGATTAGCTCAGTTCTAACGGGGTAATTCAATGTTGTCAATATATGCAATCAGAAAATAGCACATAAAAGCTCCCAAAGACCCTGAAGACCCCCCAAAACCCCCAGTTTTTGGCATGCTATGGAGGCTATAGAAAGGCTGACATTTGCTTGGGAGCAAATACAGCATATTTCAGTCAGTTTCAGTTTATTGGGATGCCCTTTAGTCCTGCCCTTAAGGGGCTAATCTTCCGACAACATTATCACATACAGGTACAGAAACATTTACAATCACATTCATTATTCAGTATTAAAAAAAGAATTATGAGAAGAATTACATGTTGCAATAAAGTCTTACATAACAATCATACAAAAAACATACAAATTCTACCTTGAAGACACCTAAGGTTTGCTAGACAGTGAAAGAAATATTAACAACAGATTTTTATCACGACCATAAAAGCTTTGAACAAAACAAATGTCTTTTGTCAAAAAGAAAACAAAGCTGAAAATAGCATCAACATTTCAAAAGCCCTTAATTTTTCATAGGATCTTTACAAACTTTGAGGCATATCTGTGCAGGTTAGTGTAGGTGAAATTGGAGCTTTGTTTCTGACTCTATACCCCCACCTAACCTGCACATTTTAGACTTAAACTCTAAAATAAAATAAAGGAAGCATAATGTCAAGGATCACTACAATTATGTCAAGGACCTCTTTGCAAGTTTCATTCATATTCAACACTCTACTGACCCCAATATGAGCTTATTTGGCTGCATTCTTGAAGATGCGTTCTGAGGAACTCCCATTGCAATAAAGAAGAAGAATTTAACTGATTCACGAAGCATGCATTTTCCAATACATTGATGTTTTATGTCAGACATTGCCCGCTCAACAACAAAGTTCTAGCTCTAGATTTAAAAGTATTGTTACTTCATGTACCTTCTACCAGGCTTTAGAAGCAGCTGTCAAGAGTAGAAATTGGCCAAAGAGAGAGATAACATGCATTTTCCCAATTACTGTAAGAGCTTTTCCCTATACATTGATGGTTTATCAAGTCAGACATTGTCGAAGTTCTACAACAAAGATTCAGCTGTGGATTTGACAAAAAAAAAGCAGGGAGTAAAAGTACAATAAAGCTACTTTAAGCTATTATAATTATACATACACTCAGCACGTATTGTTACTACAAGTGCCTGCTATGTAGCCTCTACCAGGCTTTGGGAGGCGGCTGGAAAGAGTAGAAATTGGCCAAATACAGAGATAACATGCCAGGTTGGTCAGCTAGAAGAGTACAGTTTGCCACACCCTTGCAATGTATTGTTATTGTTATGTCTCTATTTGGCCAATTTATTTCCAGCCGCCTCCCAAAGCCTGGTAGAGACTACTAGTACTCTATCTGTATGCTAATGTATAGAAATATATGTACACTCACCATGTATTGTCACTACCTTGTATGTCTTGTTCCCAGTACTTTTAAACTTACACGTAGCTTCTTGCAGTACACAGACCAACATCCTACCAACCTTTCTGTCCTGTATTATAACAGGACCACTGAGCTAGAGAGGGTACCTCTGTTTGGTGGCAGGTGGAGTTTGGGCCACTCTAATTCTATCTGTTGTTTCTCACATCATACATGTAATGTAGTCTCCACCAGACTCATTTGCAGGCTGAATAAATAGTACAAATCAGCCAAAAATGGTACTCTCTAAGAAGAGGTTTGTGTTTTGACTTTTTGCATTTTTTTAGGCTTTTATTAGGGTTTCATGTTGGGGTGGCATTAAAAAAATGCCAGTGCCAAAAAAAAGCGCTGATAAAAACATGCCAAAAATAAGCCAAAACCCAAAAATTCAAAGTGATGATAATTGCAACTATTTATCTATTAATCCAAGCCTAAGATTTAAATTAGCACTAGCTTGTACATTGTATATATTCATTGCAAACTGTGACGTCTTTCCTGTGACCTGTACTGAACCCAGTGGGTATTAGCGTACAATAAAGGTCTTCATTCAGACATTTATTCATTCATCTAAATCTTTCTGTAAAATGAAAAAGTCTGAGAAACAGCAAACTGCTTTCAGCAGGCCTGATGGCAGGCTCCCCTGGGTAGAACCCCTAGGGTGGGGATATCTCAGGCACCCTGGGGACGACATTAGGGGTAATTAACATAATTGATTTGATATGCATCTGGGGTATCTTTGCAGGGGGTCTTCAGATGTGATCACTTCAAATTAAGGAAGGCCTAAACAGTTGGAATTTTAAAGCAGAGCATTAAATACTATACTAGGTTAGGCCACACGAAAATATTTGTTGTGCAATCATAACAGCAGGGGGCTAGTCCACTGGTAGTGGTGTGTGTTAAACTCCCATACTCTTTCCCTAATGCTGAGTGCTTAGCAGAGAATGTGCCATTTTTAAAGTCTTTGGTATGACTCGGCCGGGGATCGAACTCACGTCCTACCGAATGCAAGGCGAGCACTCTACTCACTTGGCCATTCCTCCAAAACGATCCATACTAATTCAATTCTCCTGTCAAAGCAGGAACAGGAAGGCCAGGACACATCAGGTTTGCGGTTTTCTCTGAGTGCCTTTAATCATCATAAACAGGAACTCTACAACATTTTGTTTCTGGGAGAAAAACGTTACGAGCTAAAATTGTGAGTTATGAGTCGGCTGAATGATCAGGACGAACATTAATTATGTTTCTTGTAACCTTAAAGTTTGCAGAAGGAAAACATTACTTTTGCTCAGTTTCTTCTTCTTCTTCTTCCGTTCCACACACATAAAGTTAACAACCTGGACCAGAAGTCTCTATATCACCATGGTAACTTGTGGTGTTGGATTACATTATGTAGAAGAGCATAGTATACATGTATAATTCATTCCTTTTCTCCATTTGAAGAAAAGAACCTAAAGGCATTTCTAACACTGATCAGTTCTTATCACAACCAACCAAAGATAAATGTTGTACAGTCAAGTAATGTGTTCAAGGCTCAAGCATTATCATTCATTTTGTATACATGTACATTGTCGGTTGGATATTTGCATGCAGTACTCTGGAAAGTCAACAGAGGGAGCACATTCACAGCCATTTCAATAGCCCAGCTTGTATCATTACTTATCAACCTGTGTCTTTTGTGTGGCACAAAATCATGACCATCAGCATATTGGGTAAACCTCTTACACTGAGTATTGGAAATTTGCAGAGCTATATATTATTTGTTTCTTTTCCCAGGCATTTGTAAAGCTATGTAAACCGTGATTTCCATATATATATATTTATATATATATAAACCATAATAATAATTATCAGATTCTATTGTTTGTTCAAAGCTTTAACAGAATACTAAAAAGCACAGTCTATAATTATACAAAAAAATATATAATATATATATTATATAAAAAAGATATATATTATACATATTATATATCTTTTTCTTAGCCTCTCTAGATCAAAACCATTCAATAATGTTGCACAACTTGGACTTGGCTTTACTCTTTTATACAGTGTTCTAGGAGGATTTACAGCTTGGGTTTCCTCTGATTATACAATATCAACACGACTTAGACCATCACAAAGTTTATACACTAATATTCTTACAGACTGGTCAAGTTTGATAATTAATTAATTAATTAATTAACTCCATAGCCACACAGATTCAGGGAATATGGTGATTTTGTCGTCGTAGTAATCCGTTACTACCAGCTGATGTCCCTGCGTTGCTAGGGCAACACTCCATGGAGCCTTCATGTCCGTAGCAATGTGTTTGACGAATCGTGCTCCCGCAAGAGTAAACATCTCCACACTGCCGTTTCCCCTGTCTGCCACGATGATGTGTGCCCCGGCTACACAGATGCCACAGGGAACATTTAATAGCCGTAGATCATCTCCATTCCAAGTTTCAGAACCTCCAAACCGGAACAGAAAGTCATCTGGATCTCCAAACATGTAATTGTACACATAGACTTGGTCATCTGATATGCCTGACGCCAAAAGTAGCCCATCCCCGTCCACCGTGATGTGACCTGGTATCTTGGGTCCTCGCTCCAGGCCCATAGTTCTCACAAGTGTTCCGTTTGTCCTGAACACCAAAACTTCACCGTGTGGGTTGCCCCTGCTGTCTTCTGTGATTTGCGTGATGAAGATGTGGTTCCACCAGGTATCCACGGCCAGTGCTCTACGACTCATACGTATTGTATTCTGTAGGCTAATCTTCCTCAGCAGGCTGCCCTGTTTGTTGTACTGCACAGCAAACTCATCATGATCAGCAGAGTCTGTCCATCCCACCGTCCACAGGTTCCCCTCTCTGTCAATGACCACGTCATGTGGGTATATCTTCTGCTCACCTGACACGACTGTTGGGAACTGTCGGACAAACGTTCCCTGCAGGGTGAAGACTTGGATTCTCTTGTTTCCCAAGTCGGTTACAAAAATCTCCCCTTCCTCTGACACTGTAACACCATATGGACCATTAAACTGACCTGGTCCTGATCCCTTTTCACCAAATGTCACCTTCTCTGGCTCTTGTGTCCCACAAGTATGGTGAATTTCAGTGAAGAAACAAACGAAGAAGAAAATGAACAGACTCAATGTTGCAGCCACCATGGTTTTTCTCTGTCGATGTGGCACTGGATCCGGATACACACCCAGAGGCAAAGCGCATGTGCAGCTTGGAACAGGTTTGGGCTGGACTAAAAGCTGACAGGGGCTCATCTTCTGTTCACCTGACACGACTGTTGGGAACTGTTGGACAAATGTTCCCTACCGGGTAAAGCTTTGACTTCTCTGGTAAGGCAACTCTGGTACAAAGATCTCCCCTTCATCTGACACTGCAGCACCTGAAGGACGATCAAACTGTCCTTCTTCTGATCCCTTTTCACCAAATGTCTCCTTCCCAGGCTCTTGTGTCCCACAAGTGTGGTAAATGTTAGAGAACAAATAAACAAATAGGAAAATGAACAGGCTCGACTTTGTAGTCGCCGTGGTTTTAGGAATGTAATAAACAATTTTGTAACCCTAACAACAGCTCAATTAAGTCTTGCGAATGTCTTTTCTGCTAAGGTCTACAATAACAGCTGAATGTGTTACCCCCCTTCACTGAGGTGTGAGTTGGTTTAACCCTGAAATTGGTAATTGTTAAACAAAACCGGTTATACAGCTTTTGGTCATGTGATAGTTAGATATAATAACTAGTCAAAACGCATGCTCAAGTGTGCTGTATGTGGGTTGGATTAAAACTTAAAAGCTTCAAGGGAGACTCCATGAACTTTTTTCACTACCTTTTATTCCCATCTATAAAATTTAAAGCAAACTTACTAAAAAGGTAAAAGAATTTGTTAGTTTAGAACATCACAAAGACCACAAACCTGAATTAAATCTTGTACATTACTTTTTCTTGTGTAGTATAACTATAAGGCGAGCTGAAAGTGTTACCCCCTTCACTGTAGTGAGTTGGTTTAACCCAATATTGATAATTGTTAAACAAAACCAGTTCTACACCTTTTGGTCATGTGCTTGACATTGTTTGCTCTGAGAAGCAGAGATTATGTTAACTTAAGACTAGAGACAATTCTAATATTTGCAATACTTAGACACAATATATCAAGTCCATTTAAAGAAAGGCATTTCTAAAGCAATAAAACACATATTTCAAGCTAGTCTTGGGTTTTCTTCTCTGTTGAAAAGATACATGTTGTACAGGTGATGTGTTCAAGCATACTTATTATATTTGAAAGTCTGTACCTTTATGATGACAGTTTTAAAGAGTCAGAGTACGTAGTTAAGTTGTCTTCTCAGACTTCTGTATTGATTTTGTTCTCTCACTAAAGTCCGACTCAGAATTTTCAGAGAAACAAGGAACTAACTTTGGTGTTGCCTGAAGTAAAGTTATACACACTGCATGTCTGAATATATGAGCAGCATAATTATCAGGGCTCAAAACATACATGGGTTAGTGTGACTATCACCTCATCCAAATGTTTTGAAATATGGTGATGTTGTTGTCTTCACCATTAGCTACTACCAGCTGTCCCTGTGTTGCCATGGCAACAGCCTGTGGCCCCTTCATGTCTGTAGCGATGTGTTTGAGGAATTTTCCTGTCTTGTCAAACATCTCCACACGGCTGTTTCCCTTGTCTGCCACGATGATGTTCCCTGCCCCGTCTGTACAGATGCCACGGGGTTGCATCAGCTGACCTTCACCACTTCCCCTGCCTCCAAACTGGAACAGAAACTGTCCATTCTTCTCCTTGTTGTAGACAGAGACGCAGCTAATGTCAAGGTCTGACACAAGAATGTTCCCTTCCCCGTCTACAGTGATGTAGTGTGGGTGGTTCTGAATAAAACTGAACTGGTTCATCCCCTGCTGCTGACCCACATATACAGTGGTAACAAGTGTTCCGTTTGGCCTGAACACTTGTACTTCACCATGTGGGTTGTACGCGATTATGGTTTGTGTGATGAGGATGTGGTTCCTCCTGGTGTCCACGGCAACTCCTCTGTCATACCCTGTCTTCTGTAGGTGAATCTTCCTCAGCACGCTGCCCTGTTTGTTGTACTGCACAGCAAACTCAGATTCCGAAGACTCAGATTCAGTGTCCCCCACCACCCACAGTTTTCCTGTTTGCCCCACCACCCACAGGTTCCCCTCTCCGTCCAGGGCCACATCATACGGTTTCATCTCCAGTTCACCTGACACGACTGTTGGGAACTGTCGGACAAACGATCCCTGCAGGGTGAAGACTTGAATTCTCTGGTTCATCTTGTCTGCTACAAAGATCTCCCCTGAGAATCCCTCTGACACTGTAACACCACATGGAACATCAAACTGTCCTATTCCTGATCCCCACTCACCAAATGTCTTATTATAATAATGTGTCCTAAACGTCGCCATGTTTCCTCTCTCAGTTGACGTGGTAGCCCCACCCCAAACCAAAGTCTACTTTGGACCATGTTTGCTGTAGACTACACTACAAGCTGAGGGATGAACTATTTTTTTTTGCCACCTTTTATTCCAATCCTTTAAGATCTTGCTAAAAGGTGGTTGCAAATAGGAATGTGGTAAAAGATTTTGCACTTCTAAAAAAATAAGTAAAAAGTACTTTCACCTTGTAGGAAATAAGCTATCAGGGGGGTATATAAATTATACGTCACACCCGTTTGTACATGATTGTATGACTTGGTTTCAACTAAAAATTAATGATTGATAAGTAGGGGAACAGGTGCTAGTCATGTACTTGTTTGCTAGATGAAGAGATTTGATAACTGCCTGCAAAAGGTTAATTTGTAGTCTAAAATCTGAGAAAAATGGACATGTTCAAGAAACTATAATTTGTTCACGGAAAAAGGAAATGATATTGAAGTTTGCACTGCAGAAGTGACTACGAAAACTATGAACATTTGTAAGTACTGCAAAAAATTCAGGAATTACTGTAACACTGTAACAGTCACAATTTCAGTTGGCCTTTATCTGAAATCAAGCATAGCTAAAACTATCCTTGTGTTTTCTTCTCAGGTCACATGATACAAAATGTCATGTGTTGAAGCATAGGGCAGAGATTTGCATTTGTAGTTCTCTGGTAAGTCAACAGAGGGCGCTGGTTCACAGCATCTTTTTGATCCATCTTGTAACTACAGGACTTGTACATTATGAAATACAGTTACTGTAACTTTCCAGTAGAGAGACCAACTCGACCAACCACAACAATATGTGTGTGTCTTCAGCACATTGCGTGAACCTCTTATAATGGAAATTTGCCAAATCTGAACATTTCTTTAATACCTATCAAAATCTAACCACATACCAAACCTCATAACAATCCATCCATGTAGCATTTGACATGTTCTAAACTCCAAGAGCCAGTGAATCAAATTGGAATGGCCTCACTTGAAATTTGGGGCACTACATGCATAAAAGTACATGTCAAGGCCAGTTTGTTTTATTATGTATAGACATTGTATATATAAGCAGCATACTAACATTTAAACATTACTCATGGTTACCACATTGCCTACATCCACAACCTAGTAACTCAGGCTCAGACAGCAGAGAGAGAAATTCTAATTCAGAAATCTGATTATGGAATGGATCAATTTGAAAGTGACAACATCATAGATAAATCACTTTTGCACTGCTGGTGTTTTTGGATAATTGATTTTCCAGCTAAAGTTTTAGCCCAAGGCAAAACCACTTCTAACACATATAATTGCTTTTCAGCATCTGCCTTCATCTACATGTATCATAATACAAAGAAAACTTCACAATGCAATGCTAAGTGATTGTCAATATATATAATATAAAAGTTTCCTTTGGATAGATATATATGTGTACTAACACAAGTTTTATAATATATGATAACTAAAAAATCTTTAATTTATTTTATCTAAAATGTATATTTACATGTAATGCTGTATTTGTACTAGCTTGCAAGGAGGGTTTTGATTTTAAACCTGCTTGGTACTAGTATATGACAAAAGATAAGGTCTCATGATAGGACAGTTTTTCGGTAATTAGTGGTCAATCTTTTGATGATTGAAATTAATAATTTATACCAACACCAAAATATCAATCATAACTAATCTTGTAAATTGTTCCCCGATGAAATTTACTAATGTTAAAATCTTGTTGATATCTAATATTTATGATATAATTGATAATTATGATAGCTGTACATTATATGACCATCTTAATCCATAACTGGTTCACTAATGCCAGGCATTGTGTGCATAGTCGTTAAACCTTCAACTGATTTGATCTGATTTATTGAAATTGTAACAGTGCAATACACGTGGGACACAGGCAGCTGTTGCTGGTGTTGTGTCCCGCACATAAAAACAAATACAGGACAGACAATTATACTCATTTTTACTCGAGTTAGTGGGAAAAGTCGTGTAAAGTGAATTCCCAAGGGCACAAGATTGGTGGCATGAGGCAGGATTCGAACCCAGGACCTCTTGGGCCTCAGCAGGATACTTACAGTCATGCCTTCAAATATCAGAGTTATCTTGAAATCAAGAATTGAGGTGTTCAAAAACTTGTATTTCCCCAGAAATGATCGTAGACTGAAACTCGTTGCCACTAAGCACAGTTGGGGCATCATCACTAGAAAGCTTTAAACAACTCCTGCAATCAAATGTGCAAAGATTGAGTGTAACAAGCCGTTCGTTGTGATATAGCTAGCTGCCGCCGCGCCGCGTGCCTGTGAAGCTGGTGTGTTACTCCGAAGGGCGGTTATACCGGCTATACAAAATACAGAAGCTGGTGTGTTACGCCGAAGGGCGGTAATACCGGCTATACAGATACAGAAGCTGGTGTGTTATGCCGAGGGCAGTTATACCAGCTATACAGATACAGATACCCCAATACCCCACCATTGTCCCATGTTAAAATGCTTTGTGACAGCTGATATGGTTTTAGTGCAGATAAAATCACCCATCCCTGCATGTAACTGGGTTATTGTTGAAAGTCGAGAAGGAACTTGACCTCAGCGGTGTGTCTTGTCGGTTTCACACAACTGAACAATTTGTCTTTTGTCCATTATACATTACTGAGAAGCAAGACCAATACTTAAAGCCTGTATTGGGCTACTAAACTGAAGGTACCACCCAACTGTTTTTAAGATCAATCAATCGATAAATATAAATGTTAGTAACATCACAAGAAATCAGAGTAAAGATACATAATTTGTTCAACCAATTGCCACCACTTTAAATTTGCTACATGTACAATGTCAATTGTAGTCAAGACTTAATAATTTATACCAACACCAAATAGCTATAGTTTTAGTCAACTACCTTACATCATGTAGATTGTATAATAATATACTCTGTTTCAATACTGTTGTATGTTTATGATTTGCAATTAGCCTACGGGCACGAATTTGCAATAAAACTTCTTTATATTACCAAGAAATCAAAGATTTCCAACTTCCTAAGCTGAAACTAAATAAATCCCACCATCAATGTATGTAACATTATAATCTTTATAATATCTAGCAATAATGGATTGACAATAAGAAGAAATGGACTGACAATGTAAGGTAGAAGTTCCACCACTTAAACCTACATTAATGATTTGTACATAAAATCAACCCACAGGATAGAGACAAGTGGCTAGCTGCCAACAAGCCTTGAAGTACATGTATATTGTTGTGCAAGCATGTCTTTAATTTTAAACCTTGGAAGTCAGGGAACAACAGACACTAAACCGTATGGTGAGAAAGTAGCAATAGCCTTTTACAAAAAAACAACCAAGCCAAGCTGCGTTAGCAATTATCATAGGCTAACGGATGACAAAATCCAATTTTGCAAGTCAGTTTTTATATTATCCAACTTTCTACTGAAACTTCCCACCACAGTGACTGTACAGATAAGCATTATATCTAACCAGCAAGAACAACCAAGTCAAGCTGCATTAGCAATATTATGATAGGCAAACAGATAACAAAAATGCAATTTCTCTCGCTATACAACTGAGCCACCAGTGAGTCATTGTTGGAAATCAGACCATTTCAATCAGTACTGAGCTGAGAAAGACCCACTGTCTCACTGGGCTTAAGGCTGACATGGTTTCTGCATTTGTAGTCTTTGTGTGAATCATGATCATCAGGAAAGGGATTTACATTATAATTCCAACTTGACGTAGGGGATTATCTACATGTATATCTAGATAATGCTACAACGGTTCTAGATATTTATCTGTAGGAAAATATGGTAAATCTATGTATTTATAGCTCAGATTTCTGTATCATACAGTACATTCTTGGAGCAAAGTTATCATATATTACTTCCCAGTATAAAATCAAGCTAGGCACCTATAAATAGTATAATATGATATTATGTGAAAAAAAGCACTGTAATAAACTCTGCACATAGTTGATAAAGCAAAAACTAGTAAACAGATGTAAGTTGAAGACCTTATTCGCTAAAGAGATGAAAAAAATGTGCCAGGGGATATATCAATATGTTTACAACCCTTGGCCTTCAAAACAAAAACAGGCCATAAAATTAGTCTCTGCATAATGTGAATTGTCTGCATAGTACTGTACTATATACATATAGTGTGGTGTATACATACACAACATGTGAATATCATTATTATTATAATACTTTATCTAAAACTAAAGAAAAAGGCAAAGTTGAACATATTAAGCAATGGTTTTACTTAAACAGGGAACTGCAATGATTGTCATAAATTAACAAGTGAGCTTACCCTGTTGTTATTGACTATGTACAGTTTTGTATACATACATGTATGACAACATACATTGCTATTCAATGTACTTTGCAAGCCAAGCCAAGCCATGATGACAATATACATGTACTTGTTAACAAATGACTGACTAATTTATAACATACTTAAATATGTGGAAAGACAGACTGCGGCTTAGTTATAGCTGGGTGACTGGGACTGACTGAGTGTGAGTGAGTGAGTGAGTGAGTGAGTGAGTGAGTGAGTGAGTGAGTGAGTGAGTGAGTGAGTGAGTGAGTGAGTGAGTATGTACAGTATACATTAACAAAGTAAAAATTCAGATATGTTGAAAAATAAATAAAAGGCGACAGTCCAGTTGACCAGACTGGCCAATTGCAATGAACTACTGGCCAACGAATTTAAATACTTGTTAGTATGTGAACAGACAGACTGTCCCTACATTACAGCTACATTGTACATGTATGGGTCTGACTGAGTGTGAGTGAGTGAGAGAGTACATTGTATCATATACGTTTAACTTAACAAAGTAAAAATTCAGATGCATGGAAAAGACGATAGTACAGCAGACTAATATTATTATTATTAATGACTGACTGGCCAACAGACTTATGTAGACAGACAAACAGCTCCTATCACTATACAATGTAAATTAAACTGATTCTGTGTGAAGAGAGTACAATGTATGTACACATTTACATTAAGTAAAAATTCAGGCATGTACTCACGGTATGACTTCCATGGTGGTGGTTCGTAGTCTGAGTCCATGTCTGCTTCTGAGTCAGCTTCAGCTGCACAAATAAGGAAATAACAACAGTGTCCAGGAAGTTCAGTTACAGGAATATACATCAAATTCCGGGAAAATACATAGTAAAGAAGCTCTTTTACACCACCAACTTAGTGTTTTATTCACAGTTTATTACAATTATTCAGCTATACATACATGTATAGATGCATTCCCAAACATAAAATACAGTGTATATTTACATATCTACACATAATATATACGTGCACTGTTAACTGTAAGTTACAGGGAAATGTATCTAAAATGTGGGCACAAACATACAGAGGTGCTGCAGTGCAATGTGAACCAGTCCGAATTACCCTGAGGAAGGTGACTGACAGATGTCAATTCTGTGAATAAAACACTCTTGGTAAATGTGTAAAAAAAAGAGCTACTTTACTCAGTGACTTACCAACCTGATGAAACTATTCACAGATCCAGGAAAATAATGAGCACGCCTCACTCAGTGAGTGACTGAGCACTGACTGTGATCTGATACAGGGACTGAGCTCAATTCAAATCAATTATCCAACATGTGGATTGTACCATTTCTCCCTCGTAGGGGTGGAAATATTGACAGGAATACATAAATATGTATATATGGCATGGCTGTATGTAAAAATGGTGATCATACAAATATTATAAACACTAACCATCTTTTCTTGTTCTTTTTGTAAATGTATAAAATTTATTTTGTTGTCTAGAAAATATCAACCTGAATGTACAAACAGTCCTTTATTTTATGATGTAATGCTACTTGAAAATATAGTGTCTTTACAATACAAGGCACCTGAAATCATGTGTACGTGACCATTCACAAATTGCATAAACATTTCATGGCACTGAACAATATCATTGAGGGGTAAACCACAAAAGCACACATTTTCTTACAAATAAACAACAATTATGGCATGACAAACTTTCAATAGTTTATCATAAACTTACAAAAATGGAGCAGTTACACATAAAAAGGGGTAAGACTGCTAATTAAGAACTAAATTTTAAATTAAAAACGTTTTATTAACCCCACCCAACTGAAGTATAACTGTACTTGAATGGATGCGTCCAGACTTCTATGCTAGAAGCAGACAAATTAAATTCTGTCACTGCAGCTTTCTGAGGAGTGATGAAATTTGCCGCCTGCTCCGAGCCAGAATCACATGAATCTAATTGTAAAACCTGCTTTCGTAAAGCAGGGCTCAAAATTCTACCTGCATATGCAGCTGCAGGTTAGTGCAGGTAAAACTGGAGCTGTGCAGGTATTTCTCACAAAATTTTGAGGCCTGCTCACGTCTACCTGCATCTAACCTGCACAGGCCCTGATGTACTGTATTTGTACAATTATTTGTTTATTGACTGGTAATACAAACATGTCAATACCACCTACATTTTGAATGAAGTGTAAAAGAGTAAATGGCAATGGTTTTTCAACAGTTTTGAGTATGATCCATACTTCCTTGTCCGAGAGGTGCAGGTAAAATTTGTCTGGTGTAGAAATTAGAACTGCCTAGCAGTAGAGGTCGGCGAAGACCTAAAAAGACGTGGACAAAGACTGTGTCAGGAAGGACAATAGAGAGTACGGCCTTGCCGGTGTTAACCTTAACTGGACAGGGCTGCCTGGAGGTGCAGTGTGAAGACCAGTACTACTAGCCGACTGCTGCCAACCCCTGTGGCAGGGACAACAGCAGCAGTATAATCTAATCCTGCATAGTCACTGATGAGTGTGAGTGTGGTAATTTTCAATGCTACCTGCACCGGTGCAGGTATACAGGGAAAAAAGGATTTCCAGCCCTGACACAGCTGACAACCGTGGCTTTGGGACTTGTAAATCCCTGAAAGCAAACTGTACAAATTGGTAAGCCCTCATCTTAGGGAATATAATTAAGGGATGCACTGAAGCGAAACTTGGGAGGTTATTTGGGTACAGATCCTAGCAAATGTAATTACAGAATATCATCCTTTTATTGTCGACATTTTGCATTTTACAAACTAGTAAGAGAGATTGTTTTATGCAAGAAACATCCTGAAAATCTATATAAAGGAACAAGCCTCACTGCTGAAACAATTTTTCACATTTTGAGAATACATCACAAGTTTTCAAAGTATGAGTTTTTCAGTACAGTCATTTAAGCTTTTTTTTTTTTTTTTTTGCTTTATACAAGTACGTAAGATACATTGGCATTACGTGTATGTAAAATGGTTTGGTAACTTTCCATGCGATCTACTTGTCACAAATACTGTGCAATAAAGGTTCATACTTGCAGCTATTAAACAATTTGAATTTACAGCATTGAAAGACAATGCAGAAAAGACAGTAACAACTTCCCCCTAGAGGAAAAGTGGTACATTCCAAAACAGCAGTATCATATTTCCAAGGGAAGTGACTGCGGGCGGAAGTTTAACAGCTGGTACATGACCTTTGCCCTATGCTGTCGCCAGAAATAATCCTACACTAGCTGAAGGTCATGGGGCAAAATTATGAGACCTTTTTGTGTAATTTACCTTTTTAATTATCGCACAAGTTTGTTTCAATTAATGGATGGATGGATGAATAGATGGAAGGATGGTTGGTTGGTTGGTTGGTTGGTTGGTTGGTTGGTTGGTTGGTTGGTTGGTTGGTTGGTTGGTTGGTTGGTTGGTTGGTTAGATGGATGGATGGATGGATGGATGGATGGATGGATGGATGGATGGATGGATGGATGGATGGATGGATGGATGGATGGATGGATGGATGGATGGATGGATGGATGGATGGATGGAAGGAAGGATGGAGGGATGGATGGATGGATGGAAGGATGGTTGGTTGGATGGATGGATGGATGGATGGGTGGATGGATGGAGGGATGGATGGATGGATGGATGGATGGATGGAGGGATGGATGGAAGGATGGTTGGTTAGATGGATGGATGGGTGGATGGATGGAGGGATGGATGGAGGGATGGATGGATGGATGGATGGAGGGAGGGATGGATGGAGGGAGGGATGGAGGGATGGGGGAATGGAGGGATGGATGGATGGAGGGAGGGATGGATAGAGGGGTTGGTTGGATGGATGGATGGATGGATGGCTGCAACATGTATCTTCATAAAGAATAAGGGTTAGGGTTAAGCAAATGAATGCCTTTATAACATCGTAACATACTATTACTAGTATTAGGTATAAAGAAATGAATACCTCCCAAACTAAGACTTCATTGAACACCTAAAAACAACGCAAAAACAAACCATACAGAAAAAACACACCAACTGAAAACAGAAACAGGAACAAAACTTAAAATCACACATTGTTTATTTATTTTTTCCGAACAATGAAATAGAATGAAGGTCTAAATACCGCACAAGAATAGATGGGGGAAAGCAGCTGAAGGTTATCTACACAAACATTGATTGTATCACAAATAAAAAACATGAATTCTGCGCTATTATTGATGAACAGCAACCTGACATTATTATCACAACCGAGACGAACCCAAAAAACTCAAGATATAAAATGACAAAAGTAGATCTGCATATTCCGGGGTTTAACCTATTTACAAATGCTGATACAGGAGGTGTGAGGGGCGTGTCCATCCACGTGAAAGATGCCTACAACTCTATGGAAGCAGAGAAACTGGGTTCAGCTCAGGGTCATGTCTCAGAAGTGATTTCAGTGGAGATGACGCTGAACAAAATGACAGACTATTAATTCTGGGGATCTACAGAAGCCCGAACTCATCTGTCGAAAACAATCATAGTCTAAATAGCATCATACGCAATATCCAGGGCTATTCGCACATATTAATAGCCGGGGATTTTAACTACCCAAAAATCCTATGGGCCAATGGAGACGGCTCAATCTACTCACCTAACTGTGAAGCCGGCAAAATTCCTAGAGGCTACTAGGGACGCATACTTATACCAGCATGTGGACTTTGCAACAAGACACCAAATAAACCAGGAAAGCAATGTACTAGACCTGGTCTTCACGAACGAGAAGGGAATGATTGACTCGGTGACAATGTTACCACCAGTAGGAAAAAGTGACCATGCAGTGCTAAGGTGGACTTTCAAATGCTATGCAAAGAAAAGAAATGAGAGAAGAGAAATCTTTCAATACCACAAAGGCTCCTATGAAAATATGAAAGAAGATTTAAATAAGGATTGGAATGAAACACTCCAGGAACTGGATATTGAAGAGAGTTGGGTCGTGTTTTCCAAAACCTTGAAAGATACAGTTCACAAGAATGTACCCAAAGTCAAATCCTCAAATAGAAGGAGAAGGCTAATCATGGACTGACAGTCAAACAATAGCGAAAATGAAGAATAAACAGAAAGCTTGGAAAAGTATACTCAATCTGGAAAGAGAGAAGACTACATTAAATACACAAAAGCACGAAATCAGGCACGATGGGCATCAAGGAAGGCGGCCAAAAGACATGAGAAAGAAGTGGCTATGAACATTAAGGGTAATACCAAATTATTTTGGAAGTACGTAAACAAAAAGTCCAAAACAAGAGACAATATCCCGGACTTAAAGGACGGTGATGAAATTGCCAAGACAGACGAAGAAAAGGCAGAAATACTAAACAACTTCTTTATCAGTACATTTACGAAAGAAAACATGCAAGATATCCCAACACTAGAGCATAAGGACTACAAAGAAGAGCTAACTGACATTGAAACAAGTCCCGAAGAAATTAATAAAAGACTGAAGAAGTTAAATCAAAACAAAGCCATGGGACCAGACAAAATACACCCCAGAGTAGCTAAAGGAATTGGCGATACTTGCTCACCACTGAGCATACTCTTCAGAAGCCTTAAGAGAGGGGAAACTCCCAACGGAGTGGAAAAACTGGTACCATCTCACCAATATACAAGAAAGGGTGCAAAAAGAACCCCAGTAATTACAGACCGGTATGTTTAACGTCTGTGATTGGGAAACTGTTGGAGGGTATAATCAGGGATGAAATCATAAGGCATATGACAGACAACAACCTCTTCACAAGTCAACAACATGGATTCCTCCCTGGGAGGTCAACAGTCACCCAAATCCTAGAATGCCTGGAAAGCTGGTCAACCTGGATAGATGAAGGTCAACCAGTGGACATAATTTACACGGACTTTCGCAAGGCATTCGACTCGGTCCCGATCAAAAGACTTCTGAACAAAATAGAAAGTTATGGGATCAAAGGAAACCTTCTTAAGTGGATTTCATCCTTTTTACAGAACCGAAAACAGAAAGTATGCATCAATGAAAGCAGCTCTAGATGGGGAGAAGTCTACAGCGGAGTCCCACAGGGCAGTGTTTTAGGTCCGGTCTTGTTTACTATCTACGTGAATGACATGCCAGAAGTGGTAAACTGTTCTCTGAAATTGTTTGCGGACGACACAAAGTTGTTTAGACCAGTACCACAAGTACGAAACTGTGAAGCTCTACAACAAGACTTGTCTAGTCTACAAAAATGGGCCGACAAGTGGCAACTCAAATTCCACCCTGATAAATGTACGGTCCTGAGGGTTGGTAGTGGCCACCCGAACTTCACTTATAACATGTCCGAAAACAACAACCCCTTACCTATATCCCTGAAGGTTTCCTCAGAAGAGAAAGACCTGGGAATCCTAGTAGACAGAGACTTGGGCTTTGCCAATCATATAACAACTATTGTAAAAAAAGCAAACCAAATAATGGGGCTAACATGGAGAACATTTGTACACATGGACTTAGAAATGTTTCTCATTCTTTACAAGACCATTATCCGTCCTCACTTAGAGTACGGAGCCCCCATTTGGTCCCCACATACTTGGAAACTCGCTACAGAACTAGAGAAAGTACAGAAGCGAGCGACAAAGAGAGTACCAGGCCTGCAGGATCTTTCATACACAGAGAGGCTCAAGAAACTAAAACTACCTACCCTGGTCTACAGGAGATTGAGGGGTGACATGATCAACGTTTATAAATACACACACGGGATGTACAATACAGCATGTCTACTACCAATAACAACAGAGAAGAGAACTAGAGGTCATCACCTGAAAATAAAGAGGACGCAGGCAAAAACAAATATGCGCCTACACTTCTTTACAAATAGAACGGCAAGCTGGTGGAATGAGCTTCCTGGGGAGGTAGTTATGGCGCCTAGTGTAAACAGTTTCAAGAAGAGGTTTGACGAGTATATGGAAACACACCCGGTCGTCTACAATTATAGAGCTTTGGACCACCCACTACGTCCAGAGAAGTCAGTAAACTGAAGAGCGGCCCAAATTGGAGCAGGACTCCTACCCGGCATGAATCAACTCTACTCTACTCTACTCTAAGAATGACAACCTAGACCTCTAAAATTTGCAAACAAAGGTTCAAACTCCACTTACCACTTTCCGCCATCGTTCTTAAGTCGTCTTTAACCGTCCAGCTTGCAGAAAATAAAGAAAACCCGCCAAAACGACAACAGATGTGAAGGTACTTTCTCTTTCCCACGTTCGAATTCCGCCCTGCCTGTGTGTGTGTTGTCGTCACCCACGGAGGTCAAAGGTGGAAGTTCACCGAACACGACTGACCCAAGATGGCGGCCTCCTTCAAGCAGACGCATGCGATTTCTGCCCCACGTGTTGGCAAAAAACAGACCCCAGACGCGGCTTATTGGGGTAATTTCGAGTTCCCTGTGACCGTGAAGGAATATGGAGCGGTGTCGTGCGTGGATTTTTGTCCGGTGGAGCCGCACTCGTTTGCAGTCACCGCTAGCGATCGGGTGCAAATCTACAACTCTAGGTGAGGCGCCCCCCTCCCCACCATACTTTTTATATACAGTAGTTTCTGCCCGTACTCTATGGCTGATACTAGTACTACAGTATATAACTTTGCTTGAGTACCACGATAGCTGCATTATGATACTGTTATATTGACGAATATTATGTATTTTTTATTTTATATTTTTTTTTATTATTTCTTTGTACTTCCTTGGTTAAATACTGCACTGAAAGTAGTACACGGTTCTGGATAATTTCTGGGTATCTAAAGAACGTACATGTACAGGGCCGGCTCTTAATTAATGTCCCGATGGCCTCTGACCACTCAATTTTAGGACGGGACAACTAAAATGTGATTTTTTTGTATTGGATCTTAAGTTTTAACTCTAATTCTAAACATGCAACTACTAGTACCAACACAGATGAACTTTCATGATGTAGTTAGATTAGGCTAGTACCTTATGCTATGTAATGCATCTTGTGCAACGGATGACGAACAACGAAGCCAAGCCAAGACAGAGAGTGCATCTTGTGACTTAACACATTTTTATTTATTTTTTTCAGAACAAACAAGGTTGAGAAGGTTCTGACCAGGTTCAAGGCGGCGGCTCACAGCGCCCGTTACCGTAGCGACGGGGAACTGCTGGTTGCCGGCGGCGATGAGGGGCTGGTGAGAGTGTTCCACCTGGAGACCAAAACCAGCCTGAGAACTTTCACTGGGCACACCAGGTGAGGTATACACTCTGTGAGCTGTCCCGAGTATGCAAATATGATACTTAACTACATTGCCACTGTCTCAAGTCTGAAAATATTGGTCTTGTTCTGTTGTCTGTGTGTGTGTGTTTGTGTCTGCTCTGGACCAAGATGGTTGGGAGTTCGAATCCCAGCTGTTGTTGCTCACCCGACATGCACACTACTGTAAAGGGCCGCAGTCCCTATAGCTAGGTTGGGATGTTAAGCCGTGGTCCACAGTTCATTGCACTTGCCGAAAAGACCTCTAGGAATTTCCCCAGTATACTGAACCTATAAATGCTGACTGTAAATTATAAGCGTCTGTCTGTCTGTCTGTCACGACCAGTGGGAGATTAGCTATTCAGTGAGCTAAAACTGGATCAACATCACTTTCCTTTCCTCTTTTTTTTTCGTCATAGTTTGTGAAACATTGACACAATGTGACAGTATTGTGACCGTGATGTATCTTTCCGTGTCCAGGTCTGTCCATGCCACATGTTTCAGCTCAGACAAGGTCCGAGTTGTATCAGCATCGGATGACAAGTCCACCCGACTCTGGGACCTTGCTACAGGAGAGGCCGTACACACACTCACCGGACACCAGGACTATGTACGGTCTCTCGCGGTCTGCAAAACCTCTGCTGACATGTGGATTACTGGTATGTAGTTCTCATTTCTTTTCTCTGCTATACATGTGCTCTGCTTTGCTATTACTATACTCTATTCTGGATAAAGAGAGACAGTACACACTCTCACCGGACACCAGGACTATGTACGGTCTCTCGCGGTCTGCAAAACCTCTGCTGACATGTGGATCACTGGTATGTATTTCTCATTATACGTCGATGAAGGTTAGGCATCCAGGTAATACGATATGCCAAAAAACAGTTACTCAAGCAACTGGATATGATTTTGAAAACGTCAGACGTTTCAGCTAGTATCCACTAGCTTTCGTCAGTGACTGAGAGACCAGAGGGGAAAGCAGGGGGGCTACGGGTCGATCTTTCTGGCACTTGGGATTTGGCACTCCCAGCCCCGAGGACAGACAACACTTAAGCTCCTGTCCTGTATAACAGGAGCTTTCAGACTAATTTGCATCATCTTGTCTTGACTTGTCTGACTTTTGTTCCTTTTTCGACTTCCAAAAAATTGTCTTCACTTTATTTGCATATCAATCAACAGGTTGTGTATATAAACCTGCTTTCCCCTCTGGTCTCTCAGTCACTGACGAAAGCTAGTGGATACTAGCTGAAACGTCTGACGTTTTCAAAATCATATCCAGTTGCTTGAGTAACTGTTTTTTGGCATAATGTCTGGTTAGTTTGTTAAAACATGAACACTGCTCTTGAAATATTACATCATGTGTACCACGTTTATTTGCACAGGCTCAACTGTGTAAACAGTATTCTGTAAATATAAGTGTATGGAAATCATTATTAGCAAAATTTAGGGTTGTTCCATATCTGGCCTTTTAATCAGTATTTTGAGGCGTTGTTATTGCAAAATCTACATTAATTTATGACTTGTTTGGCACCAATGACTTAGAGTGAACACAGGATCAAATCTCTAAGGTATGGTTTTAGCTCCAGTGGCACGGCATTCTTAGCTTGACTCGTGTCCTTGTGGAAAAGGCACACAAGTCCAACTTCAAACAGCTTCCCTCACTTCTTTTGTCCTTAATTCTTAAGTCCTTAAAGATCTAATAGCACCTTACTAGTAGTACTTCATTTCATTCTCACTCCACCCAGGTGCATGTGTATATGGG